CCGCATCGGGCTGTTCCTATAATACATATTCATTGATTGAGATGTGCTTTCTTTTTTACATTTTTCACCTGTTTCCACGACAATACTGATTGATGAAGTGTCAACGAGGTTAATGTTCATTGGAATATTAATGTTTCAACTAAATACATGAGACCACTCCTGTTACCGTCATACAAATAAACAAACTCCAGGTATCTCTTAGTTCAACTCATGAGCCTTCTTGATGGCCTTGTTCTTGCCAGTATCCAATACAACCGCAGGGTCCTCTTCATCACCCTTCCTTGAAACCTCGTTGCCGTTCTTAGTAGTGATTGAGGTACTGAGTTTGGTGTTAGTGAATTGACTTGGACGGTTGTACGTTGAAACTTACTCTTCAGCCTTAACGTCCAAAACCTTGCCCTTTGGCTGTCCTTGGCCCCAGTTCCAGCTTACAGTATCACCCTTCTTGGGGCCTTTGTTTGTGCCGGACTCGTCGCCGCCGTCGTCGTCAGCCTCTTCTTGCTCCTCTTCTTGCTCCTCTTCCTGCTCCTCGGACTTCTTCGAAGCACCGTTGGACTTCTTTCCATTGGACTGCTTCTTTTGTGCCTTTTCCTCAGCACCATCGTTGCCGTCCTCTTCCTCGGCATCATCCTCTTCCTCTTCCTCGTCGTTGGACTTTGTGGACTCTCCCTTGGCCGTTTCTCGCTTCTTGTTCGAGCCGGTTTGGCTTCGGGTTGCCCTTCGCTTCTCGCCAGTCTGCTTCTCATCGTCACCATCTTCTTCTTCCTTCTCCTCTTCGGCATCATTGTCTTCTTCCTCTTCCTTCTCGTCACTGCTGTTCTGCTTGTCCTGAGCCTTCAGGAAATCGTGACCCCAGTTCTTGAGCGACGCATAAGACTTGGTCTTCTTGACCTCCTCGGGGGACTTGTCGTTGTTGGCCTTGGTCTCCTGAGCTAGATGGCGTTTACTGTGTTGTGTCAGTATTGAGTCGCAATCTGCACATGCTTGGCGCAAAAGCATGGGAAATCAGATGTGTTACTTACCAGTACGAAACGACTTTGCGCATGTGCTGGACTTGCTCGTCGGTGTACTTGCTGGGCTCCTTCTTAGGATTCTCCTTCAGGATCTCAACGATCTTACGGCCGCTGTCGTGTCCGACGGTCTCGCCATTCTCGTCCTCCTTAGGCCAGCCTGCGCTGTTGGAGTCATCTGACTTGAGCCACTTCTCAAGCTCCGAAGCTGTCATGTTGACAACCTCGTTGAATTCTTGGATAACCTCGTCGTTGCCCTTCATGATTGCGATGGTAGTTCAGAGTTGTAAGTGAAGTGGCGTACTTTGTCTTGCGATTTCAATAATTGCGAAATTCAATTGACTGTCTGGTCATCTACAGGATCCATCACCCAGGTTTTGTAACCATTGATTGTTATTGCTTTTTTTTTGGCTTTGCGCCGTGTCGTCATGACAGCCAGCTTACGGATACTGTCGTAGCGTCATAGAAAAGCCATGTTCCGTCGCGTCAAAGTTGGTTGGAGAGAGCCCGATCTTTCGGCGCAAGTAGCTTGCCGTGATCGATCTAAATTGGCTCTGACGTTTAAGTGCGTGCAGGGTCTCAGCTGAAGCGCGATCTGAGCTGTTGTCCAAGGAACGCGATCTGATCACATCAATGAGCGCATCATTTTGCGGCGATCCCCCGGGCCGGTGGTTGGGCGGCTGGGAAGTGGGCCAGGAACCCGATCAACGGATCGATCGTTTAGTTGAGCTAGAGATTAATTAATGCATTGGTTTCAGGGGAAGAATCTGGTAAGTTCATTGTCACATTGTCCTTGGTGTTTGGTCATGATTGGTATTGGTTATCTTGGTTCCTGATTCGATAGCGCTAGAACACAGTCATAAAGACCCACGTCATTCAATGTTCGGAGGCGCAACAAGGGGCAATAGTGTGCGCGAACCGAGTGTTGACTATTCAATTCAATTGTAGGTGACTTCTATAGGTATATTCAACGACTTTAGACAGCTTGAATAGGAGGTAACAAGGTTTCCATTGCGTGCAACAATGCAACCGAGCTTGTTATCATGGAACAAGGGGTGTTCGAGGATGTACATATCGATGTTTAACCGCAACCCTTTCTATAAAGAACATTTCCCATCAACAGAAATATCATGGTGCCAACGTTGCACCCGTCTGTAGTGTCTGGCCTGATTTTTATCTGTATCATAAGATCCAGGGACCCGTTCCTACTATCATCTGGCCGATCGGAGCTTGTGAGTAAGAGGATACTGAGGGTTGAACATATCTCCTCTGGCAGATGGATTTTAAATTTATCAATAACTCCTCTGTGAAGTATCAGGGACTTGCTCCTTTCTCTATTCGTACAACTTGAGCTTGTCATATTTGTCTTGAGCTTGGACCTGAAATGATGCAATTGACCAACGAGCTTCATCCCCCCTCGCTAAGCCTTAAATAGAAGCCATTGACCCCACCGCGGGGTTCTACGCTGCGGGAGCGGGGCCATTATTCGCCGGGGTCGCAGTCTTGACGCCGATGCAGGAGCAGGCGATATTCAGACCTTTACTTTTTCTGTGACTCAGATTAAATATCATCCAATACTTAAAAAGGACACAAGGTAAGTCGAAGTTTCTTAACAAACTTTCGGTGGTGTTTATACCAAAAATCTATAACCGCCGTTCTTGTATGTTCCTTACTATGCATATGCAGCCTTCGTCATGTTCTCACCAGCGTCCATTGAGTCGCGGTTGAGTCTTTTCAGCCGTTGTACCATTTCACGTCATTTGTGTCCTTCTTTTACGGTTGGATCTCAGTCATCGAACAGAATCGCTAACTCTTGCCGAAAATCCAGGATTGACAGCTTTAGAAGCTTCAGAACCGTCGCAATCATGTCTCAATACCCCCACATCCTTCTGCGCGCTGAGGAGAAGCCCCTCGAGCACCGATCTTTCTCTCCCTCAATTATTAAGACTCTCGTTGAGGCTGGATACCCCGTCTCCGTTGAGCGATCATCTACCGACCCCAAGTTCAAGCGCATCTTCGAGGACTCCGAGTATGAGGCTGCTGGCGCGCGCCTTGTGAATGAGGGCACCTGGCCCAACGCCGAGCCCGGAACCCTGATTCTCGGCCTCAAGGAGATCCCTGAGGACGACTTCCCTCTCAAGAACGACCACATCGTATGCGAAGCCCTTCGAAAATAAAGCAATCGTCATATGCTAACTTGATTTAGTCTTTTGCCCACTGCTACAAGGTACAATCTTAGTTCGAAGCGTTAAGACGCCAACTGACACATTCTAGAACCAAGGTGGATGGGAAAAGGTTCTCGGCCGCTTCCCCCAGGGAGGCAGCGTTCTTTACGATCTGGAATTCCTCGTCGATGAGCAGGGTCGCCGAGTTTCTGCGTAAGCCAATTGCCATAATAGGCCAAAACAGCTCTTTTCTAACAATTTGACCAGTTTCGGTTTCCACGCTGGATTTGCTGGTGCTGCGCTCGGTGTCAAGGCCCTTGCTCACCAGCTCCAGGACCCCTCCTCCAAGCTCCCCTCAGTAGAGACCTTCACCGACGGTCGTGGCTACTACCTTAACGAGGAGGAGCTCGTCAACCAGATCAGAGAGGACCTTGCCAAGGCCGAGAAGTCTCTTGGACGTAAGCCCACTGCTCTCGTCCTTGGTGCTCTCGGACGATGTGGTAAGGGTGCGGTCGACCTGTTCCTTAAGGCTGGCATGCCCGATGAGAACATCACCCGCTGGGACTTGAATGAGACCAAGGACCGAGATGGTAAGCCCTGCGGTGCTTCGTTCTGTAACTCGAAACTGACATTTTTCAGGTCCTTACGAGGAGATCGCCAAGGCTGATGTCTTCCTTAACGCGATTTACCTTTCCAAGCCCATTCCTCCCTTCATCAACGAGGAGCTCCTTGCCAAGTCTGGACGCAACCTGGCTGTCGTTATTGATGTTTCTTGCGATACCACCAACCCCCACAACCCTATCCCTATCTACTCCATTAACACAACCTTCGAGGACCCCACCGTCCCCGTCGAGATCAAGAACGACCAAAACTCCCTGCCTCTATCCGTTATCAGCATTGACCACCTCCCCTCGATGCTTCCTCGTGAGGCCAGCGAGGCCTTCAGCGAGGGTCTCAAGGAGTCTCTCCTCACTCTCAAGGACCGCAAGACTTCACGAGTGTGGGCCGATGCGGAGAAGCTTTTCAACGAGAAGGTTGCTCTCCTTCCCGAGTCCCTGCGAACCAAGCGAGTTTAAAAGTGCTATTTATGATATAGTTAAATTGGTCGAATAGACCGGAATAGAAAGCTGCATAGAACAGCATGGGAACCATATACAGATATCTACCATTGCCCGTGAACTTTCATCACCGCCATTGGCTATTTACTGGACCCTGAGTAATGAATTCACTCCGTACCTTTCGATCAGCTACTAATTGTGAGGCTGGGGAATTGCTATAATACAACTTGTCCACTCTCACTGACGCAACAAGTTACATCTTAAATAACAAAAAGCTTGACGTCCATGTTCAACTTGGAAACTCAGTCATCTAGGTCTAGGTAGTATCTAGAGGCTAGGGACACGTTTATACTATGAGGGAGGTTTCCTTGTACTCAATTACCCAGCCGATAAAACTCAACAAACTCGGTCAGACTAGCGTGACACTAGTAGTTTTGAGAACAAAAAGTCTCGACAATCCTAGCGCTATCTTCGTTGGTAAACATCTGATGATTTATGTCAGCTTTAAAACTACCAATCATGTCTCTTTAAAGTTTGGCTTCGACGGCTTGAATAGCGGGGGCATCCAGTTTTCTGTTGTCCGAATTTTTGACTTCTAAACGTTACTGGCATTACGATATGTTATGTATTTCGTTTGGTTGGAATTTAGTCGTGCATACCATGGAACCTATGGAGGATCAAGATAATCAAGAGGTGGAGGTGGTTGAATCGATCGAAGCTGATGAGACCTCCAAGGAAGGTCAATCATCTCAAGCTCCTGAAGCTTCAGCTCCTACGGTAGCACAGTCAACCAAGGTCACTCAGTCGTCTTACAGAGACCAGTCGACACAAACTGTTGAACAACCTCCTGCGCCTCCAGAATCGCAAGCCTCTCAAGCTCTGCAAGCTGCCCGACATGTTCAGATAGCACCTGCTCCCCAGCGAGGCGTCCACCATCCTCAGATGATGCATCCTTCTCAATGGCCTCAGTTTGCTCCTCATCCTCACATGCATCAGTCACCACACTATCCCATGGTATATGTGCCTTACCCGCAGATGCCCCAGCATCCTCATCACCCGATGGCCCATCCTCAATACATGGTCTACGCTCATCCTCACCAAGTACCGTATCCTCAGCATATGGCTCAACCTCCTCATCCTCAGATGCACCAATCTGCGTATCATCACATGCCTCAAGCGTCTTATCCATATCAATCTCCGTACACGGGACCCCAGGTAGTTCAATACGCTCCACAACCAGGACAGCCTCCTCCGCCAGGGCAAGCTCCTCAGCAAGGACATATTCCCCAACCAGGCAACGCTCCTCGGCCGAGAAATACTCATCAACCAGTACAAGCTGCTCAACCAGCACAGGCTCCCCAACCATCGCAGACTCCTCAACCAGCGCAAGCCCCTCCTCGATCTCCTCTATTCACTCCCGAGGGATCCCCCATACCTACACCACAGCAATCTCCTCTCTTTACTCCACTGGCTACACCTCGGTGGACACCTACTCCGACTCCTGGGCCTCAATCCGTTGCAGCTACTCCTGCACCTCAGTCTGCTGTTCCTAGTCCGGTTCCCCAATCTACTGCTTCTACCCCTGCTCCTCAGTCCGCTGCGTCCACTCCAGTTCCTCAATCTGTTGCATCAACCCCAGCTCCAGATTCTGTCGCTTCAACTCCAGCTCCGGAATCTGTTGCATCGACTCCCGCTCCTGAATCTTCCCCAGGATCCACGACGATATACGACATGGGCCCTCCACCAAAGAAGAAGAGAGGACCGAAGCCCAAGCCATTGTCAGAACGCAAACCACTCCGCAATACGCCGATTGTCCGTAAGGAAAACACTTACTCTAAGAGGAAGCGGGAAGAAGTTATCACGTGGATGCTTCATCACCGGGTTGATCGTCGAGGTGAGATGGTACCGCCCTCTACGCTGGATGCTGAAGCCCACTTTCAGATCCCCCGGAGTACCATCGCTGGGTGGAAGAAATCTATGTGCGTGATTTCTCTGGTGACATTGTTAATGAAGTAAGTGGTCGATGCTGACAATTAGAAA